CCACAGGCACCACCCTCAGGTTGGTCTTGAACCCATAAGCTCAGGCAATCCACCTGCCTCAGCATCCCAGAGTGTTAGGATTACAGATATGAGCCACCTTGCCCAGGCGTGATATCCATTTTTCATTTTCTGTCAGCTTCCACCTTTAAATGGAATCTCTTGGATATTAAAAAAAAGAACAACTAATGGTTGGAATCTCTTGGATATTAAAAAAAAGAACAACTAACGGTTGTTCTTTTTTAAAACAGCCTTTTTTTTTCCTGTGACAGAATCTCACTGTCTCCCTGGGTAGAATGCAGTGGCATCATAGCTCACAGCAGTCTCAAAGTCTCTTGGGCTTGAGCAATCAATTCTCTTGCCTCAGCCTCTGGAGTAGCTGGGACTGACTACAGGTGTGCCACTACTCCTAGCTAGTTTTTCTATTTGTAGTAAAGACTGGGGCTTGCTCTTGTGGAGGCTCCTCTCTAATGCCTAAACTCAAGCAATCCACTGGTCCTGGCTTCCCTTGTGCTAGGATTACAGGCGTGAGCCAGTACGCCCCGCCCAAGTTGTTTATATTCAACGAACATCTTCAAGTTACTCGACAGGAAAATCCATTTAACTATAAATAACAACTCATGTAATCCTTTATCACAGAATAAAATGTCTTTTTGCTATCTTGAGAAATAAAGCAAACAGGTTTTTTTTTTTTTCATCTGTTTACATTATCTGTAGGTTCTCTGAATATACACTATTAAAGAAAAACATTCCTGCTGGTGGTGGCTCATACCTGTAATCCTTGCAATTTGGGTGGTTGAGATGGGTGGATTGCTTGAGCTCATGATTTCAAGACCAGCCTGAGCAAAAGCAAGACACCCCTACAAAAAATAAAAAACTGAGGCAAGAAGATTGCTGGAGCCAAGTTGGAGGTTGCTGTGAGCTACTGATGCAGGACAAGGTGGCACCATGACCTGCCACCTTAGCCCTGGAAGTGTTGATGATACGGAGGATGGAGGAACCAGCTGGACACCTCTAGGGGAGACACTGGCTCCTTGCTGTCTCCTTCACAGCGCACTGGCTGGTCAATTTCACGGTTGGTAAGGCCTTGCTACCATCTGCACCTGCACTGCTGACTGGTCAATTTCATGTCAGTTTCCAAGGCCTGCGAGCTCATTGGACAGCTAGCTGTAACTGACAAGGACTCAAGTCCTAAAAGTCTACTTGGAGTTCCTACAAAACAACCGCCCTGCCGCCATAAGCAGAGAGCCCAAGAACAGACCTCAAAGAGGGAGTAGGAGAGCTTGATCCCCTCCTAGGCTCTCTCTGCAAGCAGGTTTGGTTTTTTGTACTAGTTGTAATTTTTGTGTGTTGAATAAATCATAACTTACTACTGATCCTGTGGTCCTTTGATTCATTCTTCGAATCTCCAAGACCAAGAACCTGAAATCCAGTATCACTATGACACCATAGCACTCTACCCAGAGTGACAGTTTGAGACTCGGTCTCAAAAAAAAAAAAAGTAAAATAAAAACATTCCTTATCTGAGAATTTTAAATACATATCAGTAAAATAATAGATAATTGATATTGGTTCCGGTATGAATTACACTTAACAAAAGAGTTTTAAAGATAACTTTAGAAGTTTTTAAGATAACTTTAGAAAACAAAGTTATATTTTGAGTGTTCACACAAACCAAAAGGAAAAAATTATTCTTAACTTTAGAAAATAAAGTTATTAATAAAGAAGTATTTTCTTGTTCTGGTACTTTCTCCATCCACAAAATAGGCAGTATTTGTAGTTGCCAAGGTGATGTTTTTTTTTTTGAGACAGGCTCAAGCTCTCCCCCTGGGTAGAGTGCGGTGGCGTCACAGCTCACAGCAACCTCCAACTCCTGGGCTCAAGTGAGTCTCCTGCCTCAGCCTCCCAAGTAGCTGGGACCACAGGTGCCCACCACAATGCCCAGCTATTTTTTGGTTGCAGCTGTCGTTGTTTGGTGGGTCCTGGCCACCTTAGGTGTATGTGGCTGGTGCCTTAGCCACTTGAACCATAGGCGTGGAGCCTGCCAAGGTGATCTTATTAAACTATGAATTTGTTCCTCTCCTGTGCAAATAACATGCCAAATCAACAACAGTTATAGTTGTGAAATAGTGGTAAACTAAAGTATGTCTCAGGCAGTGTGTGTGGCTCAGTGGGTAGGGTGCCATCTTAGGGACCGAGGGTGGCAGGTTCAAACCCAGCCTTGGCAAAACTGCAACAAAAAAATAGCCAGGTGTTGTGGCAGGCTCCTGTAGTCCCAGCTACTAGGGAGGCTGAGGGAAGAGAATCACCTAAGCCCAGGAGTTGGTGGTTGCTGTGAGCTGTGACTGCACAGCACTCTACTGAGGGTGATGAAGTGAAACTCTGTCTCTAAAAAAAATTAAAAAAGTATCTCTCTACTAGTCACAGTCTCAACTGGCTGAATAGAAAGCTGGCTTTCAGACACTGTCGGGCTTAATTAATCATGTTCTTCCTACTTCTGTGGTATTTCAAATTTTATTTTTTTTTTGAGACAGAGTCTCAAGCTGCTAGCCTGGGTAGTGTGCTATGGTGTCACAGCTTACAGCAACCTCCAACTTTTGGGCTTAAACGATTCTCTTCCCTCAGCCTCCCAAGTAGCTGGGACTACAGGTGCCCCCCACAACACCTGGCTATTTTTTGGTTGTAGTTATTATTGTTGTTTGGCAGGCCCGGGCTGGATTAAAACCCTCCAGCTCTGGTGTATGTGGCTGGTGCCCCAGTGACTTGAGTTACAGGTGCCAAGCCTGGTATTTCAAATTTTAAGGATGCAGGGTTCCCTGGCTCAGGGCTGGACAGAGACCCACCATTATCTAGGCAGAAACTTTGTCTAGGCTGCATTCCAGGAAGGTCATGAACAAAGCATCCTGAAAGGATTTGGGTAGTTCCTCCTTGAGCCCAAAGCACACATAACCCCTTGCTTTGGGTAAAAGCCACAATGACTGTATTCCTGCCCTAAATTTAGGATTATTTTCTGCCAGGAGACCTTTTGGCCAGTTGTGGCATACTTCCCCCAAACCCTATGCCTGCCGGATAGGATTTAAACTAAGGTGACCATATTTTAACATTGGTAGAGTGGGGACACCATTGATGGGGAGGGATGGGGGTGGGGGTGGGATGGAGGAAGGGTTTGTTCTTGATTAAAAATTTGGTCTATATGGAGCAACAAAAAGTTTCATAGAACGCAAAAATAGTATTGTAATTTTTAAAAATTTGAACATAAGTATACTTTACAAATACATTAAAAAAAATTATATATAGGGCGGTGTCTTCGGCTCAAAAGAGTAGGGCACCGGTCCACCTGGGCGACCTTGCCCAGGAGGGGAGTAGGGAGTTTATACTAGCCTTTTCATTTCCAAATGAAGTTACATTAACCTCTTCATTCCCAAATGGAGTTACATTAACCTTTTCAGCAGCTGAAAACCGTAAATTCCCTTCCCATTGTCCTGCTCTTCCCTAGATTGTCATGCATTTTTTCCAAAAATCGGGACTTTTTTTAAAAACACTGCGGGACTCGGGACAAATTGTTAGAAATCGGGACTGTCCCACCAAAAGCGGGGCGTCTGGTCACCTTAATTTGAACCCTTAGACTGAAGGGGAGGGGCTTCACACTCCAATTTTCCCCTTCCTTTGCTTATCAATCTACCAGTCTTTCCTTATCAATAAACGCTGTCCTCTTGCTGATCCGTACTGTCCGTGGTTTCATTCTTCAAAACCTGAGACCAAAAGAACCCAGAGAAATTCTAGCAACATTAGTATATATATATATTATACTGTATTACACTACTATATTCTCTTATTCTGAGGTGTTTCCTCCACTATTGGGCAGCTCCTATGAACAAATTCGCACATGGATGTGGAATATTTCCGAAAACAAATTTGATAAATCAATTATTAATGTCTGGGAGCGGTGGCTTACGCCTGTAATCCTAGCACTCTGGAAGGCCAAGGCAGGTGGATCGCCTGCGCTCACAGGTTCCAGATCAGCCGGAGCCAGAGAAAGACCTCATCTCTGAAAATAGCAGGGCATTGTGCTGGCCGCCTGTAATCCCAGCTTCTCGGGAGGGTGAGGGAGGGGGATCACTTGAGCCCAGGAGTTTCAGGTTGCTGTGAGCTGCGACACCACACACTCTACAGAGGGCGACAAAGTGAAAAAAAAAAAAAAAAGGTTATTGCATGAACAAGTGAGCTCAGGCAATCTACCCGCCTATGCCTTCCAGAGTGCTAGGATTACAGAGCGTGAGCCACCGCGCGAGCCTTCTACTTATCTTCTACGAATCCAATGGTTGAATTAAATTACCACTGATTTTTGTTTTTTTTTGTTTTTTTTTTTTTTTTGAGACAGAGCCTCAAGCTGTCCCCCTGGGTAGAGTGCCATGGCATTACAGCTCATAGCAACCTCTAACTCCTGGGCTCAAGCGAGTCTCCTGCCTCCGCCTCCCAAGTAGCTGGGACCACAGGCGCCCGCCACAACGCCCGGCTATTTTTTTTTTTTTTTTGGTTGCAGCCGTCATTGTTGTTTGGCGGGTCCGGGCTGGGGATTCGAACCCGCCACCTTAGGTGTATGTGGCTGGCGCCTTAGCTGGTTGAGCTATAGGCGCCGAGCCCTGATTTTTGTTAAAATCGTGTAACAGTCTTTGTTCTGTGCCAATAGGCTAGCATCCCTTTCCTCAAAGGAAAGTTTCTACGGCCTAGGAAATGACGACCACAGAATGAAAGCTTTAACCCTGGACTTCCCCTTTTCTCAGGGCTCTCCCCTCTGTCCTTCGCGGCAGTCATAGAGAAAGATTCATTCTAGCGCCTGGTTGTCGCGCACAAGTTTGGCGTCTGCACCCAGCCGGGGGACAACACTGCGCGCTCACAGTTCAGAGCGCCAGTAATGTGCGTAGCATTCTGCGCACGCGCGCGCTGTCTATCCTTCCCGGCGTGCCTCTCGGGGGCGGGGCGCACACTGTGAAGTCCAGGCCATAGTCGGGCGAAGTGTAAGCCTCTTACCTCCTTAGCTGCTGCGGCTGGGCTGTCCGCGGCCGCTTCTCACGTGCGGCATGCTGCTCCTGGCGTTGGGCGTCCCGTGGGCGTCCGGATTGCGGCTCAGCGGGAAGAGGACGGCATTGTGGGCGGCCACTGCGCTTCGAGGCCCCAGGGAGACTGTCCCCCGGGCGGCTTCTTTCAGTGGGCTCTCCCGGCCAGTCGGCGGCGGGAGCGCGGGGCTACGGGGAGCCGCGCCCCTGCTCCGGCGTCCCAGGCGAGCGCAGGTCGGCGGTCAGAGGATTTGAGTTGGGAGTAGGGGTTGAGAAGGGGGCTTATCGTCGGACCTGGGAGTCTGGGCGACTCTTCGTGACCTTTCCCTCCTGTCCGAGGAGCACTGGCTCTGCGGAGTTTGCAGAAGGCCGAGGGCTCGGGACCCGAGTAGTGGCCCGGTGTTCACAGCTTCGTCCTGTCTAGGAGTACGGTTGGAAACTGGTTATTTTTATGGGCGGGTCCACGCACTTTACACTTCCAAATCCAGCCAGTTGTGATGGCAACTCCGTTTAGTTCCCTTTCTACTCTTGAGCAGAAGCTTAGAAGGGTTAATTTGCAAAAAAATTGGTTACAGCACCTGGAGGCAGAACTGAGAGAGCCTGGGCAGACTGATTGACTAAGCTGTAGGTTTTTTTGTTTGTTTGTTTTGTTTTTTAAGTAAGATGGCTGTATTTTTAGGAATTCCACTGGGCCCTGGAAAAAGTTAGTATATGGGCATTATTCTTGCATGTTAATCTGAATAAATTGTCTCCTAATTCTGCCTTGAATAACAGGATGGGCAAGCTTTGTTGAATCTTGGAAGAAATGCCTGAAATGGAAATTGGAATGAAATAAAATTAAAGCATGAAGAAATCAGGCATTCCTTTTCCATTTTCTTTCTTTTTTTAGGGTTGAGTGCTATGGCGTCATAGCTCACAGAAACGTCCAACTCTTGGGTTCAAGTGATTCTCTTGCTTCAGCCTCCTAAGTAGCTGGGTCTCTTGCTCAGGCTGGTCTCGAACCCTGGGCTCAAGCAATGTGCCTGCCTCGGCTTCCCTGAGTGCTGGGATTACAGACAGGAACCAGTACGCCCTGCGTCTTTTACATTTTCAGATGTGTTGACGGTGAAATTAATTCATTTTCAGATGTTTGGTCAACTCTTTTCGTGAAGTTTTATGTAGAATTTCAAGTACAATTTTTTCTTGTTGAGAGAAAGGGAGAAATGCAAGGTATTTACAAGGCCTTCAGTGAAAAATATTTTTTTAGTACTAGGTATGGTATAAATATTTTGGAAATATTAAAAAATGTCTGGTCTTTAAATATCCGAATTTGCAGAGTATTTTACTTAGATTGTTGCGTTAAAATTTTATTTAAATGCTAAGGCATTAATGAGAGTGATGTTCTCGTTAAAAGTGGAATAGAACTATTCCACAAAACTTTTATTTTGTGTGTGTGTGTGTGTGTTTAAAGTCACTGTAGACCTAAAATCCTGAGAGCTGGGATACAAATCTAATAAACTCTAATTCTCCACTTTTCTGCTTGTGACTGGGAGTATGGAAAGTCAATTTGGTTAGCTAATTTGATTTCTTTTGCTCTGTCGATTATTTGGGAGAATTTCTATGTCATCTTATATGACAAGTTTCTTAACTCTTCATTATATTTTTAAAAATAAACTTTAAAAAATTTCAAAGTTGATTGAAAATGCAATTGACTGTTTACTAATATTATGATGATCTCTTTTTAAGTAGATACCTGTTTTTTGGGAAGGATGTGTTCGATGCTTGCATACACAACTTGACCAATCAGACGATGGAAGACTGATTTATACTGGGAATTTGGCCCGAGCAGTATTTGGTGGGTAATTGGAAGTGAGGATATTTCTCTTTTTTTCCTTTTAGCTGTAAAAAAATAACTCTTAGCATATGTTACCTATTGTTTTAGCATCCTTTAATTACAAAATTAAGAGAATAATTAGATTATAATTTTTTTTCTTTAGGCCTTTTGATGAGATGTATAGACATTTACACTTTGGAGAGATTTTTAAAAAGATATTTGAAGTCTGTGTTTTGACTACAATATTAGGGGTGGACATGTAAGTTTACTTTCTTTGGTCACCACTCTCAAGATGTGTTTTTTTGTTTGTTTTTGAGACATAGTCTCACTATGTCACCCTTCGTAGAGTGCTGTAGCGTCACAGCTCACAGCAACCTCAAACTGTTGGTCTTAAGAGATTCTTTTGCCTCAGCCTCGAAAGTAGCTGGGACTACTGGTGCCTGACACAGTGCCCAGCTAGTTTTTTTATTACAGTTGTCATTGTTGTTTAGCTGGCCCCAGCCAAGTTCAAACCCGCCAGCCTGGGTGTATGTGGCCAGCATAGTAAGTAACCACTGTGCTATGGATGCTGAGCCACTCTCAAAATGTTTAACAAAATACAAACTGCATTTGTGTAATGTTTGGTTATACAAAGGAAAAAATATGGAAGGATACCTCTTAAGAGTAAGTTAATTTGGCTTGGCGCCTGTGGCTCAAGCGGCTAAGGTGCCAGCCACATACACCTAAGGTGGCAGATTTGAATCCCCAGCCCGGGCCCGCCAAACAACAATGATGGCTGCAACCAAAAAACGGCC